GAGAGAGAGAGAGAGAGAGAGAGAGAGAGAGAGAGAGTAGCCCAGCCCTTTGGTGTGCTCTCAAGTGGGCGTGTGTGTGAATTTTTCCCTTCCTCTTCCTAATCTTCTAAATAATAATAATAATAATAAAGAAATTCGAGACATTAGCTTACTAAATAATTTGACAATATAACATACTACAATACTATTCTAATAAATCATAAGAAACAAGAATAGCCCAAAAATAATGGCTCAGATTCCATATAACCTAAGTAACACAGAATTTCTAAGGGCCTGTTTGATAACCATTTCAATTTTAATTTTTTGTGCTAGAGTATAGAGAAAATGAGAGTGAGAGTGAGAGTGAAGATGACGAGAGAGATGATGAGAGGGGAGGGTGGGAGGGAGGAGTAACAAAAGTGAAAACAAAAACTTGAAAGTGAAAACAATTTCAAATAGATTTCAGTTTTTAGTTTTTGTTTTAACTTTTGTAGTGCTGATTTTCGGACGAATCAGAATCAGGGGATTCCAATTCCAAAACAAAAAATTTCGAAATTTCAATATCCATTCCAATTTGGAAAACTCGGAATTTTCGGAATTTGTGAAAAATTTCGAAACTTATATATTTCGGAAACTAGTTCAAAATTTTAAACATGCCCAACCATTTGAATGGTTAAAATTGGCTCAAAATTTAAAACTTATATTGAACACTTGAAAAACTATTATATTCTAGTACTTGGATGTTGTTATCCTTTATGGAATAACTTGTCTATGTCTATTTTGGTCATTAAATTATATTTAGTTCAACATGAAATTAGTAATTGTATGTATCTAAGCTTGAAACCCCAATATATTTCGAAATTCGAAACTTTTCAGAATCTCGAGATACATTCCAATTCCAATCCAACTTTTTTCATAATTCGGAATTTTTGGATGTTGGAATTTATTGGACTTGCAAAAATTGGAAATTTTCGGATCGGAATTGGTCGGAATCGGATTTTCCAATCCAACGTGCATCTCTACTTTTGTTACTCCTCTCTCCCATCCTCCCCTCTCATCTTCCCTGTCAATTCTATCTCCACTCTCATTCTCACTTCCATTCTCCTTCTTTTTCCTTTATTATACTCATGCACTAAAAATAAATATTAAAGATAAATATTGAAATACTTATCGAACGGGCCTTTAGAAATTCTGCCTTACTTGGGCTATATGGAATCCGAGCCATTATTTTTGGTTGTTCTTGTTTCTTATGAGCATCATTATTAGAACAGTATTGTAGTATGTTATATTGTCAAATTATTTTGTTAGCGAATCTCTTGAATTCTTTAAATATAGCCTAAGTAAGGCAGAAATTCTAAGTAGGTAGGTCATTTTTTAAAACATAAATTTGTCCATGATGTTGGACCCATTCTCGAAAGGCCCTGTTTGGTTCACGGAATGGATTTAAGAGGAAATCACTTCCCATGTCATTTCCCAAAAAATGGGAAATGAAAGATTCATTTCCTACGTTTGGTAATGTCGAGAAAGTAACTGAGAGATTTCACTTTGTTTCCTTTCCTATGTTTGTTTTGAGTAGGAATGAAAACCAAAGTTTGTATAATTTTTCAATTATACCCATATTAAATCAAATAAAAAAAAATACATTTAATGATACCTTGTAATTCTAAATTGTTCATAGGGACAAAATGATCATGAAAAATGTGCATTGAATGTTTGCTCATTTTCCCAAACTTTCCCATGAGGAGGGAAAACAAAACCTAAGTTGAGAGGAGGACTTCACTTTCCCCCTTACTTTCCCATGTGCTAGGCAATCATTTCCCATACCTGGTCTTATCAAACATGAGAAAGCAATTGATTTTTCATCCCCAAGCCTCCTTTTCCCATAAACCAAACGGGACCTAAAGGCTTTGTTCGTTTCCTAAGTCAGTGTGATTAATACGAACATATTCCTACTTCCCATATATTTTGGAAAATGTCTAATGGATCATGTGGGAGAAACACAAGACAAGTGCCACACTCTAGATTAAATTATACCTAGGAATCTTTACTGAGTTTAATGGATCAAGTGGGAGAACCAGAAGACAAGTGCGACAGAGACACTGGGCTAAGGCCCAAATTGAAAGTAGGGCCCTTCAAGAATTAAGGAAAATGGGCTTCCAAATGCACCCAAAAACTAATTTAAAATGTACACCAAAAGATTAAATTAATACACCCAGCTCAAAATTCCAATTCTACCCTCACTAACTTTAGTACTTCTATTTGACAAAACAACAAAAAAACTTTAATCTATAAAAAATTCAGAAAAAAAAAACAAGAATCCAAGTTTCCCTTATCTTAAACTTTGGTTGTTAAAGATCGCTTTCTAATGGTGGTCTATCTGTTCATGATCAAGATATCTTAATTGTTTTATTTTTGAGTTCCATCACGAAATTACCATATATATGTCCATCTATTCATGATGAAGAGACTTTTTAGTTGTTTTCTTCTTTCGGTGTAACATTGTTCCAAGATCCATTACAAAATTACTATATATATACAACAAGCTGTTATTGAAATATCTCTCAAATAAGCTTACGTACATACGTTAGGTGTAGTGTTTTGAACAAAACAAATATATGGTGATAAACAACTCAGACAATGGGGTTTAGCCAGTGGTTGAGCGGCAACTTTCCTCCCCTGCCCCCCAATTATCACCCGAATTCGAGCCACATGAGATGGTATCTTTCAAAAAAAACCCACCCCATGTATATTACTCTCCTCTCCCTTCCCAGCGTTTGACCCAAAAAACCATCAGCAAACAACTTAAAATTAGAGACATATACTTTTTTGGCCTTTACATATGAAAATATACCCATGACAAAATCATGTACCGACATAATAACATGACACGAAAGAATAATTAATGTTTGGGTCGAGCATTATTGGTTTGGTAACGGATTGACACGATAGTGTACGATTATTAACAACTTGAGTCCATGATCATTGGTAAAACCCATATTAACTTGATATTAACAAGTTAGCGAGCTTTTATTAATTTATAGTTTCCGAAAAGAAAAAAAAAGTTGCTGAATAAGTAACTCAAAGGAACAATTCATACAAAAATCATTCTAAACAAAATTGGACTTCTGACCAGAAAAACAAAACTAGTCTTTCATAACCTTTTTTTTTAATTTTTTAGTACAAACGATGGGTTAAATTAGAGGAGATGAGGATTTTTCACACTCACAAATAATGCTATAGGGTTCGAACATGAAACTTCTTGTCCCAAGTCAAGACCCTTTTTCCACTAGTTTAACCACTGCTTCTTAAAAACAGTAAACAAAGAAAAGACTTGAAATTTATAAATTTTATACATAACAAATACAGGACCATCATCATCATCATCATCAATTCATTTCTCAACTATTTTTCACAGTATTTCCCCCAAAACAGGACCATGCTGACTTTGAGAACTCAAAACACTTCTCTGAACTCAATGTCTCCTAACTGGAAATCCCTCTTCTTCCTCCTCCTTCTACAACTCTTCAAATTATGCTTCAGCAAATCCCAGCCATTCACATCATCATCATCAAATTCAGACCTTCAATTCCCATGCAAGCCACCCCACTACAGCTCCTACCCTTTTTGCAACACCTCCCTCCCAATCACAACCAGAGCTCAGTCCCTAATTTCCCTCCTTACCCTCCGAGAAAAAATCCAACAGCTCTCAAACAATGCCTCTGCAATTCCAAGACTTGGCATCCCGCCCTATGAATGGTGGTCTGAGTCACTCCATGGCATAGCCACCAATGGCCCTGGTGTCTCCTTCAATGGCACCATACCTTCAGCCACAAGCTTCCCACAAGTGATTGTCACTGCAGCTGCTTTCAATAGGACTCTCTGGTCCTTAATTGGGTCTGCCATAGCTGTTGAGGCTAGAGCAATGTACAATTTGGGGCAAGCTGGGCTGACATTTTGGGCACCCAATATCAATATATTTAGGGACCCAAGATGGGGTAGAGGTCAAGAGACCCCTGGGGAGGACCCCATGGTTGCTTCTGCTTATGCAATTGAGTTTGTGAAGGGTTTCCAAGGTGGGAATTGGGGAATTAGACATGATGGGTTTGGAGAGAGGAGAGTCTTGGAAGGTCATGATGGTGGGAGTGATGATGGTCTAATGCTCTCTGCTTGTTGCAAGCATTTCACTGCTTATGACTTGGACTTGTGGCGGAATTTCAGTAGATATAGCTTCAATGCTGTGGTAAGACTTTCTTTAACTTTCTGATTGTCATGGAATTTTAGCCAATTTCAATTTGAATTTCAGTTGGGTTTAGTATGTTTTAGCTTGTGCAAAATTAGTTTTGTCTATATCTGCAAAATTATTCTGGAAGTATCTCTTTCCGTTACTGGTGGAAATTTAATAGAGATTTTGAAGTGGTAAGATCAAACAAAAAAGAAGATATCCAATTCTCATACCATGGAAACCAGCAGCAACATTGAAGCAAACATTTTGGATACAAATTTGCAATAAAAGGACCTTCTGGAATTTGGAGTCTAATTAATTTTTGTGTACTAGGTTTCAGAACAAGATTTGGAGGATACGTATCAGCCACCTTTTCGTAGTTGTATACAACATGGTAAAGCTAGCTGCTTAATGTGTTCTTACAATGCAGTCAATGGGGTTCCTGCTTGTGCACAGAAGGATCTCTTGGACAAAGCTCGGAATGAGTGGGGCTTCAAAGGGTAAAAAGTTTCTTCTTTCTCTATATTTGAATGGAAGTTGGAAATAATAGATATTTCAAACAGTATATATATTAAGACATCATCCTTTGTGGGTTAACGACAGATATATCACCTCAGACTGTGATGCTGTGGCCACAGTCTATGAGTATCAGAATTACACTAAAAGTTCTGAAGATGCAGTTGCTGATGTTCTTAAAGCAGGTCTTATGATTGTTTCTTCCATTATACTTGTCTGTTGTTTTTTTTTCAATGACCATTGACAACAAATATGTGGATTATTTTTCTTAAAAAGTTATAATTGAATCAGTTATTTGTAGGGACGGATATTAATTGTGGTACATTCTTGTTTCGACATACTCTATCGACGATCAAACAAGGGAAGGTGCAAGAGGAAGACATAGACAAGGCTCTTCTCAATCTTTTCTCAGTTCAACTCCGCCTTGGGCTGTTTGATGGAGATCCCAGAAATGGGCAATTTGGTAGTTTGGGACCTAAGGACGTCTGTACATCAGAGCACAAGACTTTGGCACTTGAGGCGACAAGGCAGGGAATTGTGCTTCTTAAAAATGATAAGAAGTTTTTGCCTTTAGAAAAGGGTGTTGATTTTTCCTTGGCTGTTATTGGTCCATTAGCAAACAATGCAAGTTTGCTGGGTGGGGGCTACACAGGTATGATTTGCTACATGTATTACTAGTGTGCAGTATCACATAAAGCTTCTTGGATTATTAATAGATCTTCAGTTATTGAAGATTCCTCAGGCTTTGATACCTGGTAGAGTCATCATAGGTAGAAATAATATGTACTTGTGGACTATTGTTGGCAATTTGATCATGACAATTGGGTATCTATGAGCCAACAACATTCTTTACTCAATCTTGAATGTCATCCAATTTGAAAAGAATAACATTTCTACTCTGGCTTCCAATTTTTTTTTTTCCTTTTTTCAAGTTTTCATGACGTTTCACATTAAGCTAAAGGGTTTGCTTTGGTTGTGTAGGGATTCCCTGCAGCTCAAAGGGTCTCTTTGAAGGTCTTCAAGAGTACACAAAAAGAGCATTGTATGCAGCTGGTTGCCTTGATGTACCATGTAAGTCTCGTGCTGGGTTCCGAGAAGCAATTCATACTGTCAAGATGGCTGATATTGTTGTCATAGTTGTTGGTCTTGATTTGACGCAAGAAAGGGAAGATCATGACCGAGTTAGTCTTCTCTTACCCGGTAAACAAATGGCCCTTGTATCTTCTGTGGCAGCTGCAAGTAAAGAACCAGTGATTCTAGTTCTTACTGGTGGTGGACCACTTGATGTAACATTTGCCAAAGAAGACCCGCGAATCGCAAGCATTCTTTGGATTGGGTACCCTGGGGAATCTGGCGGGAGAGCACTAGCAGAAGTCCTCTTTGGAGATTTCAATCCGGGTAGGTTATTGGAAAACATGAGTTTCCTATTATGGAATTTATGTTTTGCATCAAATGAAATCACCTCTATTTATTGTACTTCTCTAGGATGGAGTCACTTCCTGAAATATAATCATAAAGATGAAATTGAAACATGATATGGAAAGAGGGCCCCATCACAAATGCTATGAGTTCTGTTTTGTGCAAATGCTCATCAGAGTTATTTTGTTTCTGCTAGGCATCCAAACACATACACATCAATTTTCAAAGGCAAAATTTAACATGATCGCTTGATATGATTATAAATAGGTGGAAGGCTACCTATGACTTGGTATCCTGAGTCATTCACCAATATACCGATGAATGATATGAACATGAGGGCCGATCCTTCTAAAGGTTATCCGGGAAGAACCTACCGATTTTACACAGGGAGCAGGCTGTATGGATTTGGAGATGGCTTAAGCTACAGTAAGTTCACTTACAACATTGTATCAGCGCCAAAAAATTTAAGGTTATCAAGACCTCTCAAGGTTGATTCCAGCAGAAACATACTACACCAAGCAGGAGATACACTTGATTATTTACACATTGATGAGGTGACATCTTGTGATTCCTTGAGATTTTTTGTTGAAATCACTGTGACGAATATAGGAGACATGGATGGAGGCCATACTGTGATGTTGTTCTCCAGAATGACAAAAGTTGTCAAGGGTGCTCCAAAACAACAGCTGATTGGATTTAACCGTGTGCATACTGGTTCGTACAAATCTACTGCAACAAGCATTCTAGTTGATCCTTGCACACATTTTAGCTTTGCAAATGATTATGGGGAATGGATATTGCCACTGGGTGATCATAAGTTAATGGTAGGAGATATAGAACACATTGTCTCAATTGAAATTAATTGATGCTATTTATGTCAAACAGGTGACACGATTGTTGAAGCACATGTATCCTTCATTTTGTTTTACAGAAATCAAAGCTTTCTGAACATAGCGATCTCTGATACTGCTAAATATCCATAAAATAGAGTCAGTAGCTAAATGTATATTTTGAATTTGGAAAGAATTTTCTGCTAATGTGAATTTTCTACAAATTTTCTAGATAAGATTCAGATATGAAATTGAACTTTTCTCCATGGCTGTGTGACAGATGCTTTGTCACTGGGCTATAAGCATGTTACTTCTTTATATTATTATTTGATGATTCAAAAGCCATCAATAAGAATTGAGATGGAAATTCTTAAATGAAAATGAAGACCCCTCAACTAATGGAGTTGGTAGAATGATGCAACTTGGAGTATATAAGGTCATAAAATAAAAGGTTGCCTCACAAGAAGCCTGTGGATTAGTTAGTTAGTTTAGTAAGTATTGCTTTGGGATGAAGGCTGCAGCAAGTACCCCAATTACTAAATTAATAATCATTTCGAAAAATATGTCTTTGCTCACCTATTAGAAAAGAAAATGCTTACACATTGCTCAACTTGGCTATTCAATTTCAAAGTTTGAATTGCCAGAGCACAAACTTAACCTACTAACCTACAAACTTAACAAAGTGAATTTTCCCAAAGGATAAATTTGTATAGGTGATGACGATAACACCACGTGACATGCCGATAATATAATATAACATACGATTAATGACATGCAGATATATATTGATGTATTAAAATATAATATTAATAAGGGTTTTTATCACAAATGGTCCCTAAGATTTGTAAAATTATTATATTTGGTCCTTTATGTTTTTTTTTTCTGACATTAATGGTCCTTTATGTTACACCTCATACATCAATTTGGTCCATACCATGAGATTCTGTTAAATGTTTGGGAGACTTTGGAAAAACACAAAGGAGAGAGAAATTTTGTAAAAGAAGCCAAAATGGACAAAATTGCCCTTATTTATTTTTGGATTTCCTAAAGAATCTTTTACATTTGCATGTCTTTTATTTGAAAGTTGAAAGGTTTTTCTGTCTTTTTTGAAAAAACTTTGGCTTTATCTAAAAGTTTTTTTGCTAAAACCTAAATTTACTTAAATGTTTTGTTAAATTGCTGACTTGGTGTGTATGTGATGCCCACATATCCAATGGAATATTGCCACATGGATCTAAATTTAAAAAAAAATTAGAAAACTAAAATAAATAAATAAAAACTGCTTCTCCCCCTCTTCCCCTTCCCCCTCCCTCCCCTTTGCCTGTTTAAATTGAATGGTTTCGAACTCCACAAATCGACTGCTACATCTTTTCTTTATGGTTTTTGAATGTTCTGAGGGAGGGGGTAAGGAAAAGGAGTAGAGGGAGCCATCGATGTTGATGGGGGTAGGGGGAGAGTACGGTGGCGGTGTGGGTTGCGGGGGTTTGTGGTGAGATGGGAACTCTATGTGTGGGTCTGGGGGATTGGGGGAAGAGAGAGACATAAGAAAGAGAGAAGCAGCAGAGAGGAGATAGAATTTTTAAAAATTAATCATTTTTATTTAATGTTAAAAGCTTTATTAATATTTTAAGCTATTTTTAAGTTTCTAAAACATTTAAATATATTTTTCAAAAAAAATAACCTTTAAATATATATTGTTTAATTCACATAGAATGCGAAGTCAGCAATGTAAGCCGCAAATCCTTCTCGTACAGGTATCTTGCCCTTGATTTGGAGGGGAGCTTGGGCCCGTGAAAGGCCCACGAGCGTGGTTGACCTTTGAAAGAAGATCTGCACACCTTGAATGATATCAAAATTAGGGCGGACTGGGGTTGATTCCAGTCTAACCCTCTCTGATGGTTAAATCAGAAACTAATCTTTGCTAGAGAGAATAGAAGTAGAGTTTATATTATGTGTAGAGTTATTTATTACTTTTGTCTAAAGATTGGTGATGGGTATTTATAGGAGGGAGGATGTGAGGTCAAGATATTTTCGAAGGAGATCTTTTCCCAACTCTCAGTTACATTTAATGTTCTACTTCAGATCACCATACTGCCTGACAGGAGTTTAAGCAGTGAGGTGAGCGTCGAACATGAATGGGAGGTATATAAAATGATCCCTTCCCATCACCAACCTGTCTATTTGGAGATGAGATGGTAATGCGACACCTGACCGAGGATGGGAAGCGCATTTATCTGACCCTCATGGCCTGTCAAGTCTGTTCACCACACGTATTTCTATTTTGAACAGAAAATATCCTGGCGATCAGTTAGTCATGAAAACATCTGACCATCGGCTCAGTCTATGGTTTGTCGTACTCCAACTGATCGGTACGCAGGTGACCTGGTCTGTCGTGGCCACGTCTCTCTTTTAATGGGCTTGGCTCGTAGAGGTGGTAAGAGCTATTAACAAGCAATTAATAGCAATTTTAATAAAATTTTACGGTAGAGACTAAATTGATGTATGAGTTATAATATAAAGGATCAATAATGTCAAAAACAACATAAAAGACCAAAAATGATAATTTCGCAAACTATTTATGATAAAAACCCTATTAATAAATACACAAGTACTATAACATAAATACATCATGTGGATGGAGAGATAGAACCTATTCCTCTCAAAAGCAATCTCTTTTAAATTTCAATACGCGTGACAGAAAGCAGAATAGCAAACCGCGTAGGCACTTTGACAACCATAAACAAGTAAACTACTAAGAGTGTGACATATGTCAAAATAACCTTAACAAAGAAGCAGGATTTTTCTAGGGGAATAAACGATTCATTCCAATTGGGTGATTTCACATCATATATTCCTTTAAATTCAGATTAAAATATTTCGTTCACATTCTTCACCTCATCAAACCAAATAAAGCCTGCCCTATAATATAGCATATCAGAATATGTGGTATAAAGGCCTTGGGGTATTTTCACATATGGATTACTTCTGGAGGAATTGTTAAAGTTGATAGCTTGATGTACATTATTCTCTCATTTTCTAACATTTTTAAAAAAAGATTTAGTTGTTGTTTTGCATTGTATTACAGTTTTGATTTCATAACGGTACAAAAGAAATGATTTTTTTTTTTTTTTTTATTTATACAAGTGATAGTGAGTAACGATATATATATATTTTGTTAAAACAAAGTTTAGGGGGAGATTGACTATTCTTACCACCAGTGTTAGGGCAAACCCACAATCTCGAGTCGGAAGAACTTACGCGTGGTAGCCAACTGCCAGCTGCCACCAGTATGGATTTATCTAGGTAATTACAAATCTCACACTAATGAGAATGACTGGCAGCGGAACTCGAAAACTGGTAGAGTTACACACAGTGCATATGCTTTATCAACTGAATAAACCCTCGTTAACAGGGACTTGAACATATTTGGATATGCTTTTTCATACTCTAAAACTTCATCTATGATGAAGTGATTAAGAGTAGTATCCTGCATTTATCATCTTGAGGTTTCAAAATGGTAATTAATAGATGGTAAATTGGTTTCTAGGCATGCCTTGCGAATTGAATGGTAAAATGAAAGGTTCGAGCAAAAATCTTGTCCAATGCGAATTTTATCAAGGTTGATTTCCACAATTGCCGCCCCCAGGCCCACTATATTTGGGGCAGGATCACTTTCATTATTTTTCTTCCTCTAAATATATTTTCCCTTTAAAAAGAATTTGCAAGAAAAATGGATATTTTTGATTTGGGCACTCCACTGTGTTCTTGATGGCCATATATAATTGATGAGAATTGACACGTCAACAGTTGAATATCTAGGTGTCTTCTGACAGGCCTTCGCGAGTCCACGTGAGACATGTTCTTGTTGTTATCCACACCATACGGTAACAAAGAAGAAACTACCCAGCTTGAGAGGAATTGAATTTCGTTGCACTGTAACAAAGAAGGAAAAAAAGACGTGGAGTGGACGACTGGTTTGCCTTCTCTTTATCACCCAGCTGGCCTGGATTTGAATTCAAAACTTCCCCCCTCTTTAGAATAGAATGTCGTTGTAACTCAAAATTAAAAAAATATATATAATAACTTCTAAGTATAAATTAGTTTAAGAATATAATTAAGTATAAACATGATAATGGATTTGTAGTTTAAATAGTTATGAATATTTACATATACAACCGAGGTTCTAAATTCTAGATCCTATGTAACGGAGCCACTAAGCCCATGCACCCCAATATATTTGTGGCTCTTCACAAAGTGTCGGAACATGTAATGAATCACAACTAAGGGCTCTTTTGATAACCATTTCAATTTTAGTTTTTATTTTCATTTATTGTGCTATAGTATAGAGAAAAAAGAGGGAAAATGTGAGAATGAGAGTGGAGATGGGATTGAGAGGGAATATGAGAAAGGAGAATGGGAGGGAACCAAAACTAAAAACTGAAATCTATTTGAAATTGTTTTTCCTTTCAAGTTTTTGTTTTCACTTTTGTTAGTCCTTCCTCCTATCCTCCTTCCATCATCATCACTCTCATTGTCACTCTCAGTTTCCTCTATACTCTAGACTCCCTAACACAAAATATAGTAACTAAAAACTAAAATTAAAATAGTTATCAAACGGGTCCTAAGTTATTCACATCCCCAGTCCCTCTTAAAATTGGTTTTAGTTTTATTTTCTTCAACAAGAAAAAATAAAAAAGCTTTATACCTCAGTTAAATTAGTGTTACTAGTTTCTTTGTACACACTCACCAAACATGACATGAGAGCTCACCAGTGAATTTTTTTTCAAATATAGATACTAAGAACTTTTCATCTATTCTTTTATACAATTCTGATAAAAAAGTAAGACAAAGTTCCCCGTATATAGCTAAAGGAAAATACTTCCATATGAACTCCTATATTTTGTTAATAACAATATGATATGTATGTATAAATTTTTCTTTTTGTATTTTTGATGAATTATTTTTACACATGCCAAACCGTGATTTACAAGGAGGTGTACTGCCAGTATTGATAACTTAAAAAAAAGAAAAAAAAAAGAAAAAAAAAAAGAGAAAAGCGGGGTGCCCGAATCAAATCCTCTGGGTTGTAAAGAAAAGAAAGGAGAGGTGAGG